CCGCAGCCTCGACCTGCTGGGCTCCAGCATCCTTCCGCCTCAGCCTTCCGAGTAGCCAGAATTACAGATGCGCACTACCACACCCGGCTAATTTTTTTGATTTTATTGTAGAGATGAGGTCTCGCCTGCCCAGGCAGGTCTGGAACCCGCGGGCTCAGGCAATCCACTCACTTCAGCCTATCCACTCACTTCAGCCTCCCAAAGGCACGGGATTACAGGCTGAGCCAGCGAGCCAGCTTCAAATGTTCTTTGAGTTGCAAATAGTAGACAAAAACTCTTCAGAATGGCTTCAGCCAAGTGAAAAAAGGAAGGATGGCTGACAAAGAAATGCATCCCATAGGGAATCCAAGGGCAGGACCCAATCCCTGAACCCTCCAGGACTGGCCCAGGGCCTGAGAAGCAGCCAGCACGCCTCCTCCCGTCACCCTGTTTCTCCCTTCGCTTCCTGATTCTTCCCAGACAGTTCACAGTGACGTTTTCCGCACAGTGTCTGCCAGCCTCCTCCCAACCAGCTGGGATGACTTGGTCCCAGGTGCGTGTCCTGGGAGAAGTGACGTGATTGGCCAAGGCTGACTCAGATGCCCGCCCCTGGTCCCTTCTGCTGGGACTGGGTCTCAGGAGATGGCCTGGCTCGTCAGGCAGGTAGCACCCCAGTGGAGACCGCTGTGTGCGTGAGAGGGCGTGTTTGCATTCTCCTTGGGGAAGGCACCTCAGAGCCTCCATATGGTGCGGCGGGGGGTGACTTGCCAGTGCGGCGCCACAGCCACAAGCACCAAAATTGTGGCTTCACACGACAACAGTTGTTTCTCCTGCTCGTCTAACAGTCCTGGGGGGGTGTTACGCTCAGCGGAGCATTGTGTTTGGTGTGGTCCTTAAGGTCAGCAAGGTGCTGTCCTTGGCGTGGTCATGCAGGGGTCCAGCTTTGGTCATCCTCTGGTGCGTATGTTCCCTGAAGCTTGTCTGCGGCTGCCTCCAGCCACAAGGGTGAGAGTATGGAGGAGCTATCCAGAGGCTTCAAGGGCCCTGCTGGGAAGCAGCTGATGGTCCTATGGAAAGTGCCTGATCCTGCTGCCGCCTGGGCCACAGCGGGCAGAGTGCAATGTCTAGTCTTGTGTCTACTTGAGGAAGATGCACTCAGGGTCTGCCGTAGGCGCTGTCCTGGGGGTGAGCCTTCCGCGTCAGCTGCGCCAGCCCAAGGCTGGCCGTCTTTTTCGGCATCACCACTTCCTCTCTTCCTCCTTCCCTCCATCCTCACTGGGTGGGCTCCAGACAGGACCTCACCCCCACCCGCCCACTGTGTTGCTCGTTTCAAAGGCGGCAGTTGGTCTTGTGCTGCTGGAGTCATTGGTTGGTTCTCAGTCCTTGCCTGACTTGCTGGTCCCACGGGCTGGAGTCCACAGGAATTCCATGTCCATGGGCATCCTGAAGGCTCTGCACCAGGCAGTTGGGCAGGAGCCTGTGTGTCTATTCACGTGTGAGCTCTGCTATCCCAGTGGACCGCCCTTATAAAACACAGATTCAGAGGTTCAGTTACTGAGAACCTCAGGCTGGCCAGGTCTTGTGGGATGCTGGTTCTGCCGGTGGTGGAGACCCCCCGCCTCCAAAGTCAGCTCCTCCTGTCTCCCCCAGACCTCCCGCCCTACCACGCTGGCCTCCTCGTTGTCCCCTACGCCCGGCACAGCCTCTTTGTGCTCACTTCGATGTTGGGCCCCTCCCAGAACCTTTCCCAGGTTTGTGCGTGTTGTGCTCCCTCGTATCTCCCTGTGAGTACTCAGATGTCACCTCAGTGACCCACTGCTTAACCACTTTTTTTATTACTATTTTTTTTTTTTTTGAGTTGGAGTCTCACTCTGTCGCCCAGACTGGAGTGC